GCTTAGATAAAGCATCTTCAAGAATTGCCGTTAATCCTTCATTGTTTTCTGTGACTAAATCGTCACGGGTTGGAATACCCGTCAAGTAATTTTCACCAGAGTAACGAATTACTTGTCCTTTTATTTTATTTTTTTCAGCCTTTGGCTGAAAAAGGGCAAGGCCGTCCAAATTCTCTGAAAGCTCGGATTGGGTCATAGTAGTATCAGACATTTTTTTGAAGAAATACTAAATCTATATAGAAAAAGTTTAAAATAAAAATTAATTCTCGACTAAAAAGTAACCGACATCAATTTATAGCAAAAAAAGAAACTATTTTAAAAGATGGCATTTTATCATTGTAAATACATTCTTAGAAGTGGAGAAGTCTGTAGACGGGGTAGTTATAGGCCTAAAGGATGTGGTTATCACTAGAAATCCCCCCAACGTGTACCATATAAGGAGTGTGGTGAAATTATATCCTCCGCATATGGTATATGCAAAAAACATGCAGGGAAGTACCGAAATATGGAATACTATTATCGGCAAAAGCTTGCAAAAATTCAGAATAAATTCCACCAGCAAACCATCCCAGAAAACCCGTACTAGTTTGCTAGAATGAGCTGGGACGGAAAACTGGATGGAAAAATATAGCTAAATGGTGATATTAAGCTGAATTAAAGGGAATTTGAATAGTTGTCTCAGTTGTCCAAGTAAAATGCGAGATTCTTTATTATTTTTTTTTTTTTTACTTTTTTTCCTATAAGCATACTAACATATATCATATATGTAGTAATATATATATCATAAACATATAGCATAGGATGAATTACAAATTTTTTTCTAAAATTCTTATTTTTACTAGGACAACTAGGACATAGTGTAAAAGAACAAGTTAAATCAAAGAAAGAAGCTTTTCTTCTATATCAAATTCCGCCCCAGTTCCGTCTTAGTTGTTCTAATAACTGGGACAGAATTTACTACTATATATCGATCATATCTAACATGCATATCCTTGGATCAAAAATGCCCGATCCAGCCCTAGAAACCGGAGGGTTCATACTTTAGCTAGAGTGAACACACCAACTTATTAAAAAAATTTGTCTCTATAAAAACTATCCCCGTACCCCATGAAAAATTTATAGGGACGGCAAAAAAAACTTAACAAGGAAGCCTCAAGATAGCAAACTGGTATTTTTAAAACTCTGGAAAGCCATCTTTATTACTGTCCCTATGACCCTATAAGTCTCTATAAAAATTTGAACTTCTTTACTTTTTTTATAGCATACATCAACTATATATTAAACATATCTATAAGCATATACAGTTATCAAAGGTAACATACCATAAAAATCAAATTTTTTTTTCTAGAACTTTTACATTTTATAGGGACTCATAGGGACATAGGAACAAGTAATAAAGAATAGATTAAATCAAACTAGGAATCCCAAAATCGATATCGAGGTTGTCCCTAAGGATGTCCTTATGAATTTTTTCTTATAGGAACACATAGAGACAGCTAGTATTGTTGCATTATACCTCTAATTGACTAACCAAAGAAAGATGCCAGGAACTGAAGGCATAGTAAATTAACAATAATATCGGCCTATAATTTCAGCCTGATCTTTGGGCACAATAACTCGGCAACCAAAAAGTGATCTAAAACTGGCGAACTAATAGAGCCTTTCTGGTTCTCTACTAGTCTGCTACCAGTATCACGATAGTTCTAGACACTATCAGGTCATTACTATGGTACCGAGTTGGATTCTCAAAATACATATTCTAAAGATCAGCCAGAATTATGGTATAGTGCCAGGCAAATTTAAACACAGATTTACTGCGCTACCCGACACAATATTTTTTTACCACATTTTGATATTTTGACAGGCAACCAAATAGGCGCAAAAAGATAAGCACCTCAATATAGAATCTGGCCAAGACGGTATCTAAGATGGTCTCCAAACAGGCCAAGAAAGGTAGAATCGCGCATCTTCTCACCTAATTAGTCAGGCAACCTGGAAAAGAGAAACTATGTAACCGGCCACATACCTGAGGATGGTATCACAGATAATAATCTACTTGGGACGGACATAATCTATTATAAAATTCTAGACTATATTATTCTAACTAGATAACATTATAAAATTCTAGACTATATCGTTCTAACTAGATAACATTATAATGCAACTGGATAACAGTCTTATAAGACTGTTATCCAGTAATGTTTCTATTTGAAGTAGTTTATTATTATTTTTTACTATTTGAATAAATAACTCTTAACTTGCATCAAATGTCAAAAGATCTTCCTCAAAGTACCAACGAGATGGTATTAACTTTATATTAAAGAATGCCTTCTTTGACTAAATTATTACTGCAAAAAAATGTCGACAAACGAAGCTAGAATATATCAAATAAAGGTATGTGCAATAATACATTCTATTATTAAGCAATACTACAAACTGTAAATAATTTGTTGTACTTTGAATATGCTTGCCCTCCCAAATTTCATTTACTTTTTTTTTTTTTTTTTTTTTTTTTTTCTTTGATAACCTCACACTAATTTATTAGAATTTTTGTAATTTACAAATTAACTATCTAATTTTACGTATTAGACAAATACCCGGCTGCTATAAAGTGCCCAAGTATGGTTACCACACTGATGTTTGCCAACAAGCTCTACATATGGTGCTACCCATATTTAAAAACCTGCTATAGCTTGGTACTTAGCTATCTAAGATCAAACTGATTATATTTTACCTTCCTTTTAGACTTATTCCACCAATATTCGGGCAAAATATATTTTCCTCTACTTCTGCATAGCACAAACATATATGCCAATTTACAAAAGAAAGACTTCTTTTAAAAGCTAATCCCTTTTTTCGAGTTATCTCACCTTAAATTTTGGTAATATCTTCCCGAACTCAATCTACTTAAATCCCAGCAGATTATATATATTACCTCCTACTTCTACATAAGACTAATATATATGCCAACATTATAAAGAAAGGTATATTTAAAGAAACTCTTTAAAAGCTCCCTCATAACTGAAAAAAAATAGAAATTGTTCTAAAAAAGAAAACATAAACAAAAAAAAAATAAAACAAATAGAAAAAAGAAAAGGAGAACCTAACCAATTCTAATATAAATAAAATAGATTAAACAAGTAGAAAAAAGAAAAAATTAAGCGATCCGAATATACTATTATAACCTGTGCCAGGTGATTTAAAAATTATATACCAGATGCAACATCTGTATATCTTTGTTGTAAGTCTAAGCTTAATCTTAAAATTCCCTCTAACCCATTTCTGAATTTTTTTAATAACCTAGTCTGTATCTCAAACCAAGTGCTGCTATAGTACTAGGATCTGACTCTCTATATATAGTGCCAATGATGACAAGGATGCAATATTTTCATAAAGGTGCCATCACTCGGGTACTCGTATTTCAAGCCACTTGGTGCCGCCACCAGGGGTTTTTTTTTTAACTGGGACTCGTTTCAGGGCCTGTGCAATATATTCGTCTCCAAACACGTAGTTGCTATTTGCCGGTTCATTCAGATTTGGTAAGTAAACAATGGAGGAGGTAAGCCAAATTCCCACTTTTTATGAAAATTTTTTTTTTTTTTGAAGACCGACAAAAAAATGACGAGAAGTAAAGAGAGACCACTTAAGCTTCAAACTAATTTAAAGAAATGTGAGTTTTCTTTTCTATAGTCAAGATCTACTGCCCAACACCTGCTTAACCTTTTTTCAGTAAGTAATAAACTTTGGGCTTGTTGGCAGGTAGCGTATAAGAACTACCTCTAAATGACAAGTGCCGAGACTATGTAGTAAGTGATAAACTCTAAAACTGTCAGCAAGTAGCATATGAGAACTACTTCTAAACGACAGGTGCTGACTTATTGTCTAGTATGTCAAGTGCTAGTTTGTAAGATTTCTTTTTGCAGTAAAATGTTTTTCGGAAAATATAGTTCAAGTGATTGTTGGAGATTTCATTCACTTTATTTCCACTACAATTCTCTAAAGCTATATTTAATAATACTTGTGGCTCTTTATAGTCATTCTTTATAAACCCTATGTCATAATTCAGTTCTTTATTCATATTGGTATTAAGTTCATTGGAATATAATGAGGTTTTATATAAAAGGCTTTCTAGTATTTGCTTTCGTTGTAGTGCTAATGAATTTTGTATGAGATACTTTTTATACATAACATCAATACTTTTAAAGATTGTACGCAAAATTGTAATCTGTGCTCGGTTTGCCGATCATATGACGATGTTTGCAGAACATCTAAGCACCTGATGTAAGTTTATGCATATATATACACATGATATTTTATTGTATTACTTGAATATAAAATACCAATTTTGATATAAAATGTTGATGGTTAGATATATTTATGAACTAAGAATTAGATTATTAAGTTCGTATATTTTTAGCAAATGCAGTAGCTATTTTTTAGAACAATGTAATTGTCATTATACACATGTACCATATATTAAATTATGTTTCAAAATTTAATTTTGTTTCTTTTAAAAAAAACAAACATGTATAGATGGTTTCAATTAATTGTTCCACTTATAACAATTGCTATATATGCAATACATTAAAGTTTAACATAAAATAACAATAAAATATATTTAGTTGCGCACTTATTTAATAAATAAATTAAGTGATACTTATCCTTTTAAAAATCGTAGGTTTTAGAATTATGTTTCAGAAATATTATATAGCTGTAATAATATAGATTAATTTGTTAAAAAACATTAAATCAGGTAATCATATAGCATTTTTTTTAAAAACAGTGTATTTAATAGTGTTTTTTTTTTTTTAAAAAAAACAATTTTAAAAAATCGAATTGTAATTTGAACTTAAAATAAGAATTCCATCTCATAAAATGAATATATTTAGTTGAAATATAGTAGTGCTATAATAGTTTTAAATGTAATTAATAAAAGAGAGGTCAGCAATATGAATATTTGAAAATATATGTCATAAAGAAAAAAAAAATATCACCTGTTTCATATTTCATAATCATTAAATAAACATAGCTAAAAATAAAAGTTTAAAGTAGCATAATGAAGTTTAATGGCAAAATAGCATAAATTATATTATAAATCATGTAATATAAAATACAAAAAAAAAAATACGCCTTTTGTTTTAATAATTAGGTAGAAGGAATGAGATCAGTTTGGCATAATATTAACAGATTTCTTATACTTTTGAGGCTCACTACATATGATATAAAATTAATTTCAATTGGTTTAATTTTCTAATTTTGAACAGTGATTAAAAAATTGTAATTAAAACTGTATATAAAAACTTGAATTATAGTATGAAACATTTAATAATTCATATCCTACCTCATAATAATTCAGTTAACTCTTTATAAAAGAGCATTTAACATAAGTTATTCTTCTTGTTCGCAACTGGCATCTAAATTTGATAACAATTTTCTTAAAATTTCTTGAATGTTGCAACCATACTATAGCCTTTTTAATTTACAAAAACACTAATAAATTTAAACTTATTATTAAATACTAACAAGGCAAAAATTCAACAAACTGATCATACTATTTTGTGGAATACGCTATCTCAAGATTATAATTATATTGTCAGTTCATTCAAAAAAATTCAAGCACATAATTTTTTAGGTGCACATATGGAACTATTTGAAGCAGAGTTTTGTATAAATATCTCCACTACTGATAATGCCCAAGCATGGCTCGACAAGTTTTCTGATTTGAATAAGGTAACCATGTGAGAAACCCAAGAAAGAATTATAAAAGGCATCCGTTATTTTCTTTCCAAACATTTTCATTGTATTTACAGCCATGCTATAAAATTAAAACAAGGTCAAAAAGAGAAAAATAATTCTGTTAATAAAATAAATGAAAGTGCTGAAATAAATAAGAAAGATAAAACTAAAGTTAGCACATGTTTATGAGATACTAACTGCTCTGCAACACTTAAAATAAAAGTTCAAAGTAAACATGATACTCATCCATGCATAGTTTTGCTTCTATTTTATCATAATCATCCACTTGCATCAAGTCATACTATAAGCTTCCATCCTGTATTTAGTAATACAAAAGAAATATTTTTCAAACTCTTTGATATGGGGCATAATCCTGCAAGTGTATACAATACGTACCTAGAAGAAATTCAATTGAAATATGATAATGATGAGGTGATACTAGCTGATAGGGCAATATGTTTGTGTAAGCATGATATTTACAATTTTCATCAGAAATTTCTTGACAGTTCTGTTGGTCCAAAAAATGGAAAAGAAATGTTTTTATGTTTAGCTAAGGAATTAAAAGAATTGCTTGGATGCAACCCTATATTGCACCAGTAAACAATAATTTAGGACAACTATTCATATTAATTATTGTAACAAACCTTATGAAGTGCTGTCATTCACTGTAGCAGGCTGGTGAATTAATCTATATAGATGCCACATCTGGTCTTGATGCTCTAAATACCCTGTTAACTATTATTTTAACAAGTACACCTATCAGTAGTTTACCTCTTGCAGTAATACTAATATCAAACAAAACTGTATCCACTCTCACAAAAGTATTGGATGCACTAAAAACTATAATACTATCAGATACATTCGGTGGACATGGGCCTACTGTTGGTCCACAAGTTATAATAACTGATGACTCTAATACAAAAAGAAAAGCATTGCACTGCACCTGGAAAAAGACAACCATGTTATTGTGTATTTTTCATTTTCTTCAGGCAATGTAGAAATGGCTATAGGAGAGAAAACATAGTATTCACATGAACAATCATATTGTCCTTATTAAATATCTAAAAAAAATAGTCTTTGCAAAAAATAAGGTTATACTTGAAATAGAATATATAAAACTTACAACAAGTAATACTTATCTAAAATATCCTAACTTTTAGAAGCACTTTAAAGTTGTGTAGAATCATCGCAAGGAATAGGCCATCTCATTTCATTAGCAATTACCAGTCTGTGATAATAATATCAACAATCTTGCCGAAGCTGGAATATGAATCATAAAGGATATTATTTTTGAGCGTATACAAGTATTCAATGTGGTGCAAATTTTTCATTTCATTATTAATTCAGTAGATTTATATTATACTTGCAAGTTACTTGCTATAGCCTACAATTGGTTGGATAATTTTATTGCATTACATTTTCATCTTACTGGCTAGCAAATCAGGTCTAAAAATGATATTATAATTGTAAACCTTGATTCGATAGTGTTCAAACATAAAAGCAATAAAAATCCAGATATGTGATATCTGGTAGATATAAAGCTTGAGTACAATTCGACAGAAGCACTATGCAGATACTAATCTTCAATTGCAACTCATTACCGCATATGTGGCTTAAACCAAATATCTACAATGTTAGCAAGTAGTCGGTATTATTATGCTTATCTTGCTTTAGGTGAGAAATATCAAAGGCTTAACTTTTACGCTAATCTTTACCAAGCATAGTTCAAACCAGAAGAACTTATATATACTAAATCTACTAAATCTATAATGAGTATTGATAATAATTTAAATAATGATACTGTTAGCATAGATTATGATTCTGATTTTATGATTCAAGTGAAAAGAATATACTCGTAGATTATGAAACTGATTTTAATGATTCAAGTGAAAAGAATATACTTTCTGAAACTACATCTTTAGTATTCTCGCAATTTTTAAGTAATCAAAATATAAGTGATGGTGAAGAAAATAGTCAATATGATAATAGTAGTAATGCAAGTAAAGATAACGATAACCTTCATCAATTAGCTATGGATGAATTCCATTGGTTTTGTAATGATCTTCAAAATCTCCTTGTAGAAAATGATCCTGTTGTAATATAGTAAACTTTGGTGGCAGTAAACTATATTATTTGACTTAGTGTCAAAGGGTAAGAAATGTGAATAACGTGAAATGAACACTAAAAGAAACTAACAAGATAGTAAAAGAATAATAAAAGAACAATAAAAAGACAATAATTCTACTATAAAAGAAGATAACAGAATATAAAACATGTATAAAGTAAGTATTTTACAAGATAATATCAGTTTATTAGATAAAAAGAAGAAAGTACAGGAGACCAAGTCTAAGTCCAAGACCAAATCTAAGACAAAATCTATCTCAAGCCTTAGAGAAAAAGGCCGGGTTTATATATCTTTTACAATTCTAAATAATTACTAATTATAATCCATATTATTGTACTATTGTGTCAAAGAGACTTGTCAAAGAGACTTGTCAAAGATACTAGTTAATGAGACTAATCAAAGAGACTAGCCAAAGAAACTAGCCAAAGAGACTAGCCAACGAGACTTAATTACTCGTTAACTATTGGTTTAAATGAAAAGCTATAAAAACTATACTAATAAAACTAATATTAAGGATTCTATTGGTTAAATAATATTTGTACTACATTTAGTAGTTACACACAAATAAGTAATAAAAAATTTAAAGTACTAATATAATACTAATATAATACTACTCCCTTCTTTGAAAATTTTGCTCTGTAAAATTAAAGAAGTTAGTAAGTAATTACAAATAGAAAAATAACTAAATAAATATAATAATGATAAAATAAATGATACTAGTAATAATAATAATAAAAATAAGAAAATAATAAAATAAAATTCGAACATTCTACTGCGGCTAGTATTGTCGCTAAAGTGCACCTAGTATGACAAGCTACTAATGGGATTCGAATACACAGCCCTGTAGTGCTATACGCTCCACCCACTATACTACAGTATTGTGTACATAATAAAAATTTTTTTTGTACCCTTTTTGAAGATCTAAATTTGGTTATAGATTGTCTAATAATATTGTTTAATTTGTCCTCGTGAGTTTGATAATCTTTTTGAATATAAGTTGGGCTGTATGTCACATTGCATACACTTGTCGCTTTTACCTAATTTTTCTTTAGCTTTTCTTTTAAAAAATTTTTTGCTTAAAAATGACTAAACATTTTTATACTCATGCCCACCTTAAACACTACTATTATCGTATCGCAAATAATAGTAATAATAATAATAATAATAATAATAATAATAATAACGATAATAATAATAATAACGATAGAAGTAACGACAATAACAATAATAATAATATTAATAATAATATCAATAATAATAATAATAATAATAATAAAGAAATTATTGTTATTTCTGATGATAAGGTGATTGATGAAAAACAAGTTCAAGAAGAAGCAACTGTTTAGGAAGAAGCAACTACCACAGAAGTTGTTCAACCAGAAGAAGTTATTTATCTCTACGTTCTTGAAGGTCTAGGTTTTACCGAAGAACAATGATATAATAATAATAATAATAGAATTAATAATAATAATAGAAATAATTTTTTTTTTTTTTATAAGTTTCTAACAAGAATATCGAATTTTTGCTCGTGAGTTAATATCTATTCAAGAACAGCTCAATTTGGCAGAAAGATTGAGTCAAGATACTTTAGGATCTCGTTTGGTGTTGAAGAAACGTAGAATTATTAGTAGGATTGAAGCTATGAAGAAATATTGTTTCTATAAGGGTTATCGAGTTTTTGAGTATAGAGAACTATAATCTATGTATTCTGTAATTCTTTTCTTCTTTAATAAAACTCAATTTCTTAATTGTTCAAATTGTTCCAGTATTAATTTTCCAAAGTTCGTAATATATACTTCAACTGAGTTATATAATTTACTAAGTTCGTATTTATTAAATAAAGTATAAATTCTTGTTGCTTGAATTTGTAATCGATTAGCACCAGATTTCTTGAACTTTTCTTACAAATTTCTATTAAATTTTGTCATTAACCGATTATTATAACTATTATCGGCAAAAAGCTTTTCTAGATAATATACTATTTCTAATTGTGGAATACGTTTGTGATTATTTTTCTTAATCTTGATATAGGCTCTAATGATTTCATTAAAAGTATCTAATTCATCATTCCCATTAAAAGGAGAAATAGGTATGTCATTTACTTCTGAATCTCGATTTAAATCTCTAGTTATTTTAGCAAATAGAGAGTTATTTTCACTAAGAGTTAGATTTTCATTATTAAATTGAGCTATTTGGTTTGTTTCTAAATTATTTTTTTCAAGATTAGATCTTTTTTCTCTAGGTTCGTTTTTAGAAAGTTCTCCTACATCGTATTCTTCATCCTATAATATATTATTTTGGGAAATTAAAGAACTATTATCAAGATTTATAGTGTCTTCTTCGTGTAGTGTATTCTATTCTTCATGATTAATAAACTTATTAAAGAAGTCGAATTCAGGAGAACTTGTAAAAGAACATTTAAGAATTTCATCAATTGAAGTTTTAATTTTAGCTTCATTATTTTCTACGAGAATAATCTTTTGCTGATTAATCTCCAAGTGTTTGCCATTATTATATTCTTGTTTCCATTTATTTAAGAATTGTTGTAATTCTTGTAGTGTATTAATTAAGAATTGATTAAGAAACATATTGTCAGAAACTTGTAATTCCATTTTAAATAAAGAAATAAATAAATAAAAAAATATAAAAAAATATATAAAAATTAAATTAAAATAATAAAATTTTTAAAGTTAAGAAATTTCTAAGAATTTGAAAATTTAAGGAATTTTGACGACCAAAGGGTATATTTATAAAAGTTAAGGTTATATGATCTACTAATTTGTGTTATTATTTTGTGTGATAATAATTTGAGGTACAGGGAGATTTTTAATTTCTTTATCGTGATACAATTTTAATCTGTCTCCATATACAGGATCTTTTACTTTTTTTGCTATCGAAGATTCATAGCTTGTAAACTCCAAATTTTAATATATCATAAATGATGTAAGGACCCATAAATTGTTCTTCTAATTTTGCTGAAAAGACATTTTTAAGATGAGATCTAGCTACTAATACTTTATCTCCAATTTTTAAAGTATTATGTTTGAGATTTTTATCATAATATTCTTTTTGACTATGTTGTGCTTCTTGTATATTTTGTATAGCTTCTTGTTGTTTTACCAATAAATCTTCTATTTTAAATATTCTTTTTATTAGTGCTTCATGGAATGACATCTCTTCATCATAATAAGTTTCAATAATGGTTTCAATTGGTAATTTAGCTTTTTGTCCATATATTAAAGAGAATAGAGTGAATTTAGTAGTTCCATGTTTCATAGTTTGATAGGCTAATAATATAGAAGAAAGGATTTCATCTCATTCCTTGTATTTATAGCTTGTAATTTTCACTAAAGCTTCACCAATTGTCTGATTAAATCTTTCTATTATTCCATTGGTTTGAGGTTGATATGCTGAAAATTTATGATGTTTAATTTGGAATTTTTGATACAATTCTTTTATAATCTCACTTATAAAATTCTTTCCTTGATCAGAAAGTAATATTTCTGGAGTTCCATGTCTACAAATAATGTCTTCGTAGATAAAATTAGCAATAGTAGTAGCTTTTATATCTAATGTAGCTCTTGCTTCAGGCCACTTTGTTAAATAGTCCATAGCAACAATGATATATCTATTGCCATGTTTTGTTATTGGCAATAGTTCTTTTATATCTATTCCTATTCTATGAAATGGATATTTTATTTCTAATAGTCGTAAAGTTTGGCGTTTAACTTCATGTTCTCTTCTTTGACAAATATTATATATATGTATATAATTTTTAATATCTTTATACATTCCAGGCCAATAAAATATTTCCTTAATTTTGTTATAAGTAGATTCAATACCCAAATATACACCTTGTTCATTATATAAGGAATATAGAATGGTTGGCTTTTGAAATAGTTTAATTACTCTTTGTAGCTTTTTATTATTTCGATGATATAAAATATTATTTTCTACAAAATATTTCTTGGCTTCTTTTTGTAAACAAGATTTTTTCATAATAGAGGCGTCTATAGGGTATATGAGATGAGTAAGATAGTTTAATAATTGATTATAATCTTTATCATCTATTATCATTGTAAAATTCTGGTAAGCAAGAGAAGAAATCTGCATTTTGATTCTGGCTACCAGCACAATATTTAATATCATACTAATATTCTTGTAAGGTGAGTCTCCATCTTGTAATCCATTTATTATTATTAATGGTGGTAGAGTTTAAGAGCCATTGTAAAGCCTTGTGATTAGTAATTAAAGTAAATTTCATTCTATGTATATAATGTCAAAAATATTTTACTGCCCAGACTACTGCTAAACATTCGAGCTCAATAGTACTTTAGTTTTTCTCTGCAGGAGACACAGGTCAAAAGATAAAAAATCAGACACAAATCAGGTACCCGATTTTAAACTGATTATTACCTGATTACCACCTGATTTATGCATATTTTTGTACAAAAAATTTGGTACAAAAATATGCATAAATCAGGTGGTAATCAGGTAGTAATCAGTTTAAAATCGGGTACCTGATTTGTGCCTGATTTTTTATCTTTCGACCTGTGAGATAGTGTTCTGCTTGCATAAACAATAACATATTCCTTTTTATCTTTTATTTGGGTGAGTATAGCTTCAATGCCTTGATAGGAAGCATCTGTAAAAAGAATAAAAAGTACATTATAATCAGGATATTGGAGTATAGAAGGAGTAATTAATTGTTGTTTAAGTCAATTAAATATTTCTTCATATTCATTAGTCCAAATAAATTCTATATTATTTTGTAATAGTTTATGTAAAAGTGCAGCCTTTTTAGCAAATCATTCGATAAATCTTCTATAATAGGAAGCTAGTCCTATAAATGCTTTAAGTTGGATAATATTTTTGGATAATGGAAGTTTTTCTAATTTTTCTACTTTTTGTGGATCAGGTTTTATCCCATCAATTCCTACTATATGTCCTAGAAATTGCATCTTATTTGTACAAAAATAATATTTTTCTGAGTTAATTCATAGATTAGCCTTCTTTATTAGCTTAAAAACTTCATTTAAATGTTCTAAATGTTGTTCAAATAATTCAGAATATATATTGATATCATCAATATATACTATAGCATATTTCCAGAGAACAAAATTAAGAACTACATCTATTAATCTTTGAAATATTGAAATAGCATTACAAAGTCCAAATGGCATGACATTGAACTCATAAAGACCAAATTTCATAATAAAAGCTATCTTTTCTTTATCTTCTTCTTTTACTTGAACTTGCCAATATTCAGAAGTTAAATCCAAAGAAGTAAACCATTTAGCTTTTTCTAAATTATCTAATATTTTATCTATGTGAGGAAGAGGATATGTATCTTTCTTAGTTATAGAATTTAACTTTCTATAATCTACACAAAATCAAAGTTTTCCATTTTTCTTTTTCACTAATACTACTGGCAAACTCCAAAAACTTTCAGATTTACGAATTATTCTATCTTTTTTTATCTTTTCTATTTCATTTTTAATATGCTCTTGTTCAATAGAAGATACTTAGTATGCTTGTTGTTTGATAAGAAAATAGTTTTCAGTATGAACAGCATGGTAAATAATATTGGTTTGTCTAAGTTCCAAGAATTGAGTTGCAAAAATATCAGAGTTTTCTTTTAGAAAATCTTTTATTTTTGTTTTTTGTTCAATGTTTAAATTATTTCTTATAAATGTTGATTTGTTTTCAGTAATAGATATTTCTTTAGGTTTCTGTTTTACAACTTTTTGTTTAAGAACCATATCTTCTATTTCAGGTTTAACCATTTTGAAGATTTCATCTATATTGTTTCTAGAATCTTCACTATTTTCGATCCTTATATTAGATATAAGTTAATTAATCATTATCTTTTACTTGACGATAAGGAATTTCACAAAGTATATTAAGGTCTTTAATCTTTTTCCAACAGGTTATAGGTATATATTCTAAATTATTTTCATTTTCAACTATCATAAAGTCATTTTTAAAATTAATACTGGCTTTAGCTTGATCCAAGTATTCATTCCCAAAAACAACATTATATTTCTTTGATTCAGTTACAAGTATATCTACTTGTATTTCTAAATTTCCAAATTTTACAGATACATTGAAAACTTTCCCAAGAGGTATAGTTCTATTTCCCGTTATATCTATCATTCAAACATTTTCTGGTCCATCAATAGTTTTATTAATTTTATCTAGAAAATGTTTAGATATAACATATCCTTTAGAATTTGTATCGACAAGAACATTTATTTCTTTTTCATAAATAGTGGCTATAGTAAAGAGAGCATCTTTTACTTCATCTTCTTGTAATTCATCTTCTTTGTTTACTTGAAAACTTTTAATTTCAATAATGTTATTTTTATCTTTATCCTCTATCTATAATTTATAAATTTCATTCAAGTTATCATCCATATCATTATTAATAAAATTATTATTATTATGATTAATATTATTATCAGTTGTATAAGTGTTTAAGATATTTAAATAATCTGATATTATATCATTCAAGTCATTAGAGAGATTTAAATTATTGACATGCTTACCCTCAGAAGATGTCCTTTCTAGTTTAAAAGGTTGTTATTACCAATATTGTTTTCCATATTATTTTGAGTTATAATATGGTTATTATTCTCATAATAATTTAGAAAGTTTTGTCTTTAATCATTATTATTATTATTTAGAGAAGGTCTATTTTGAACTTGGTTATTGTTATTATAAGGTTGGTTATTATTAGGTTGTAATCGATTATTGTTATTATTATTGTTTATTGGGGGCTAAAAGTTATTGTTTTGAGATGGTCGATTGTTGTTATTATTATAGTTGTTTATTGGTGGTTGTTGATAATTATTGTAATTGTTATTATTATTTGGAGAATAATAATTATTGTTATTGTTATTATAATTGTTATTGTTATTTTGCCAGTTATTATTTGTTCGACAATTTCTTGTAGTATGACCAATCCGATTACAATTTCCACAAGTTGGAACTCTATATTGATAAGCAAAGTGTCCTGGTTTTTGGTATCTTTGGCAATTATTATTGTTATTATTGTTATTATTGTTTCTATTTTGGTTATTATTATTAAAGTTTTGAATAGGTCGTTGGTTATTTGAAGATTGAAATTGAGAAGATTGAATAGGATTTAAAGGTTTTAGCTATTAAATTGCTTCAGATATTATTTCTTTAGCTTGGGCAGCTACAATAGTTTGGATATCTGTATAATTCAAAGAAGTACTATAATATTGTGGTTGTAAAGATACAGACAACATAAAGTAAGCTAATAGACTATTGCCTTTGGAGTAAGCTACTTCAATAGCTTTAGCTTTATTATATGCATCAAATAAACTTGCTAGTATAGCAAATTCAAGAGGAATATGAAATTCAGTTCTAAGTTTATCAATAAATTGTTGACGTTTGTCAGAGTCAAGATAGTTTTCTTTGAGGTCTACTTTCTTTCATAATTCTTCTAAAGCAAAGAAATAATCTTTTACAGTCTCACCAGGTTTTTGTTTTCTATTTTTTAATTCATAGAACCATTGGTTTACTTTATGTAAACTTCGAAATTGAGCTTCGAATAAAAGATAAAATGATCTTCTCTTGGTGTTATTATTAGTTTTATTATTCCAATATTCAACTTGATCTCTTACTTTATAATACCAAGTGAGAGCAACACCTTTTAAATAGTTAGGAACTATTTCTAATGCTCTGTTATCCAAAATTTTATTGGCTACAGCAGCAGCTTCAAATGCATCTAATCAAGCAATAGGATCTTCATTTCCTCTTTTAAAGGTTGGGTAGTTAACAATTTTTACTTCTTTAGTACCATTTTTCTTTTCTAGAATGCTAGTTAATCCTTGTAAAAGTTTCATTAATATTTCTTGAGGATTTGGTTTATCTTCCTCCTCCTCTTCTTGTTGTTGTCCATCTTCTGATTCTATTATCGTCCTATAACCAGGTTTGATATTATTTGTTAAAAGATTATTATGAATATTTAATCTAGAAGAGGTTCTACTTTCGCTTTCATCATTTTCATTTTCGGCATTGTTGTTAATTATTATTTGAGGTTGGTTTTCTTCGTGTTGAGACATGTCTGGTGTATATAAGCTAGTAATAGATAGAGTGTAATTCTGAAAACCGTGAGTTTCTTGCCAAGTGGTAAATAAATCTGC